GGCTGGTTTGGGGTAGTAAACATTATAAAATGTATGAGATTAAGAAATTTATAACCTAGGGATTAAAAACAAGTCCATAAAATCCTTTAAAGAATAGAATTAATTTTAAGAGGAGTTCAAATTCTGCACTTAGAAGAAATGAATAAAGATTGAAAGGTGGAAAATTCTTACAGAAATGAAGTAGTTGAGCTAGGCATGGTGCCACACACCTATAAGCTCAGCTACCTGAAAGGCTGAGGCAGGAGGATCACAAGTTTGAGGCCAGCCTGAGCAACTTAGTAAGACCTTGTCTCAAGAAATAAAAAGGGCAGTTGGATTGTTTTATTAGGGGATAAGTTAAAATCTGGTCTTTGTTACACTTTTAAAAAACACCTGAGGGCCAGGGATTTAGCTCAGTGGTTCTGGTGCCTGTCTTCCAAGTGCAAGGTCCTGAGTTCAATCCCTAGTACAAATAAATAAATAAATACTGTAAAGGCTTCAGTTACTATTTTATTTTTTTGGTACCAGAGCTCGAACTCGGGACCTTGCACTTAAGGCAGGGACTGGAACCACTGAGCTAAATCCCTGGCCTGGCTTCAGTTACTATTAAAGATTGATGATTATCAAATTAGTTATTTCTGATCCAACTGCTACTTCAGCTCACTATTAACATAAAATCTGATGGTTATCTTTACCTGATTGTTCCATTAACAACTTGAATTTTACATGTTCAGAATTTCACTCTTATCTCCCTCTTACCACCTTCTAACACATTTTGCCACATATTCTTGTCCTCATGGATCACATTAATTATTTGTTTCATCTGTATAATTTCCCAGTATAAGGATTTCCTCTGCATACAGCAGTAAGACTCTGTAAATATTTGGCTGTCTTCTGAATTCAGACTCCCAAATGCTTTCAGAATGTCACTGAGTGCTCTCAAATTGACAAGGAATATGTTGTTACAGGTAACAGTAACACTCCAAGATTCAGCTACTGACTTTATTCAGGAGGAATGGCAACAAAATTTAAACCCATTCAGAGGAATGTGCACAGGGATATTATGCTGGAGAATTATAAAAACCTACTAAAAGTAGGTAAGGAAGATTTATATCCCTATTTCTGAAAAGTGAGAGGCTTTTAAGTGGCACAGTGAATACAGCCTTGAGTAGTCAGATTAAAAAATTTTTGTCCATATGATAGCATATATTTCAGCCTTTGTGACTGTTTCTGAAGATTTTTATTTGAAAAGATCATCTCAGAAATTCACTGTAGAAAAGTGGCCAATTCCAAGTTTGAGACAGGGAAAGTACAATGCAAGTCTGGATAGCTGTGCCAAAAACTAAGAAAGTGCAAGAAAACAAACAGGAACTAGGTTGGGGGCTCTTATAGGCCAAATTTGGGGTGATTTGAAACAAAGAATGATAGGCTAAAATATTTTGGATTAAAAAAAAATGAGTCATAGTGATACTCAAAAGAGAAAAAGAGCAAGAGAGAAAAGGCAAACTCATTTACATAAAGTATGAATGATAAAACTGAAAATCACCAGTTGTTTTAATGTTTGTCTGTTACCCTGGGCTCTGTTGGTATTTTATTTTTCTTATGAAACACAGTAAGGACTAAATAAAGGATATTGTGCTTGGTAGCTCCAGTTCTTCACTCCTTTTTAAATTAACAGAATGGAGGAAACAGTGGGGTGAAGGGACACATTTTATGGAAGACATTCTTTTATTATAATAATACAACTGCCTGAGTTTCAGGGAGAACCAAATTCCTTCATTTGTATTCCCCCATCCCAGGAACCAGTACTTGGAGGCGAAGGGAGGGAGATCAGCAAATCAGTCACCAGCACTGTTACCACTGTTGCCAGAAAAGTTGAGGACAGCCATCATGGAATGGGACAGCTTGCTGGCAATTTTATCTGTATGCTTCTGCATCTTTTTCTTATTTTTTATTCTTCAGGGAAGATGCCAGAACCTTGGCCTCTTGCAGGAGGTCTGTCTCCATAATCCATTGCCGAATTGGGCAGCTAAAGCTGGGCATGGTGGCACATGCCTATATCCTAGCACTTGGGAGGCTGAGGCAAGAGGATTACCACAAGTTCAAGGCCAGCCTGGGCTACATAGAAAGTTCAAGGCCAGCCTGAACTACATAGTGAAATCCCATCTCAAAAAAACTAAAATCGGGGCCAGGGATTTGGCTCAGTGGTTTCGCTGCCTGCTGCGCAAGTGCAAGGACCCAAGTTCGATCCCCAGTACCAAAAAAAAAAATAAATACTCAGGGAAAAATAATTATACACATATGAGAGCACCTTACTTTCCTGGGATCACTGAATAAATGCCTAATATATAGGTGCCAGTATAAATCCAATGTAACTGAAGGTCAAAATCATTTGCCAACATCAACAAAGACTTTCAAAGAAAACAATCCACTACCAGGAAAGAGACAATACTTACTAAGGCTGTTTTGGGCTGGGGATTTAGCTCAGTGGTTCTGGCTCCTGCTGCGCAAGCACAAGGTCCTAAGTTCGATCCCTGGTACCAAAAAAAAAAAAAAGAAAACCAAGGCTGTTTATGGGCAGCCACTATCACAGAGATGAATCCAGAATCCAGTTGCTGGGCTGAAGGGAGTGCTAATCCTTAACAATCTGCAAGGTCAAAATTGAGTATAAGGACATAAATTTGGAACAGATAATTCGTAACAAGTGAGGTACAGCCGGCTGATGAAAAATTGTTAAGTATTACTCCTTGCTGTAGTCTTTCTAAGAGGTAAGTTCTATGTGTATGTGTGTGTGATTTTGTCTGCTTCCAGTTTAGGATCACTTCACTTCCTTGCTCCAAAATATTTGATGTGTCCTCTTTTGAATTTTAAAGTTAAAATATATGAGCAATGTGTTTTCTTGTGAGGGGGTTGATTGAGAGGATTAAATTCTCTTTGACACTTAATTTTTCCATCCTTACTCTAAGTCCTCTTCTCTCGGCCCCCTTGACAGGAATTGATGTGTGTTCCTCTGTAAGATATAATACTACTTTGATACTATCACATGGTATGCTAAAAAAAGGTCCTTAGTTCCTGCAGTCTGTATTTATAATGGTCTTAATTTGGGGGGATTAAACTACCTCTTTGTGAATCTGATAAACTAGTTATCTCAGGTTAAGAATTCCTATTTTTCACTTTTAAAAGCTTTTTTTTTTTGCAAGCATTCATCCTACTTCCTGAAAAGCCAAAAGAGATAACTCAGAATCACACATGTGTCTTGAGATCAATGCATGCTGTCCAAATTGAGACCAGAACATCTATCCTAAGAAAAACCCCAATCCACATCACCCATATACAATGACATAATTATTCTTATAGTTTGACTTATTCTGTCAGTACACTTTATCTTTATTTCACATAGCTATTTCTGATACACACACACACACACACACACACACACAGATTCATTCACTCACCAATCCTACTCAGCAAAATTGCTACTCCAGTAACATTACTAGGAAGAGAACACAAACGTGGATATGGTCCTGAATGTCAGAGCAAGTTTTATTAGTCTTTCTTCCCTCTGAAGGAGTGTAGAATTAAAATTCTATCTATTCTTCATGTGCTGGGAGCTCATAAGTTTGTGAATAATTTTAAAAAGAAAGGTCATAAAGTCAGGAAGTAAGTAAAGACAAGTTCAGGCTTACTTTCAGGTTTAGAGTACAACCTCAACTCCTTTTCTCTCTCTGAACCAAAGTTTGGTCATCCAACAATGAGGACAAGTGTGTGACAAAGAATTCAGTAAATCTGACTAATGTTACACCCTAATAAAACTCGTTATTCCTACGTATAAAGGTTTTTTACTTTTATTAGTCAATGGCCTCTCAACTTTACCCAGTAATGTCCCCCAATAATAGAAAACAATGGATGTCTACTGGATACTGTGGCAGAGGAAAAAGAAGTTACCCTGGGACTGGCTTTGAAATCATCTTTCTCTGAAATTTAAAAAAAAAAAGCTTTTCATTCTTCCCCATAAAACATATACTTGCTCTACTAGAAAAATCAGATCTAAATTACTTTTTACATAAATCAATTCCCATTCCCAAATCATCAAATTAGTATTCCAGGAAGAAATAATGTGTTCATTTTTTTCAATGACACAGCCTCCCTTGGTAGTTGAATTCGTACAAACTGAAATACAAGCAGAAGAAAAGCACATTTATATATAACACAAACCATCATCACCAGCTATTCAATTATGGACATAAAACCAAAAAATATATACAGAACTTTCATAAACAAACCACCACAGCAGAGGTCTCTTACTGTTAGATAATCATTTCTTCTTTCCCCCAGGGAATGAACCCAGGGACTTCAGCTACATTATTGCCTTTTCTTTTCCGTTCTTTTTGAGGCAGCTCAGGCTGGGCTCGACCTTGAAATCCTACTGTCTCAGCCTCCCAGAGTGCCAGGATTACAGGCATGCGGCACTACACCTGGCTTCAAAGTTGTAAAGTCCTATTACCATGCAGATCCAAGTGTGAATCACCTCACACCCAACAGCACGAAGAATTACACAGGGTGAAAAGACTTTCAGTCTCGGTGACCTGTGCCGATCACATACATACACACATATACCCCCCCCACACACACACATAGGACCTGGCGAGGCACACAGAGGCTCCCAAGTAAATCTGAGGTTCGAGGAGGTCTCCTGACCCAGCTCCGACACCTCCACTACACCTGCCTAGGAACAGAGCTCAGGACTACGCAGCACACTTTGTCAGGTCCCAACAGTTCGAACTGAGGGCCCAACACCTGCGCGCGGAGGGTCAGCGGAAACTCCCAGAAGCCCACGCGGCGCGGAGGTGGGGGCCAATGGTTTCCAAGACCGAGTCCATGAACCTAGCCGAGGGCGAACGAACTGCGCCTCCTAGCTTGGTGGACCAGCTAAACTCCCTTCCCTAGCTGGACTACATCTCCCAGAGGCACCGCGTCCGGGATACCGCTTCATTTCCAACTCTTCGCGAGAGTTGGGGTCCTCGCGTTGGGAGGGGGCCGGAGTCTGTGGAGTAGCTTGTTCGCTACCGCCTGGGCGGGCGAACCCAAATTTGGGTTTGGAACTCGGGCGGTAAATCCTGGGGCCTAAACTGAGCTCCTGTTGAAGTAAGGGTGTCAAGGACTGTCAGAGCTGAAACGCGCGGAGGGAGATTCGCTGGGAGTGTACGGCAGTGCCTCCTGCGGTTTTGTGTTCGTGCGGGAGCCTGCCTGGTTTTGGTGACTGTGTGGACAGCCAGCCGAGTGTGTGCGACGTTGGTTTATGTATGACTCTGAGGGTGTTTGTGACCATGTACTTACCTGACAGGAGAAAGGCTTATTTCTATGATTGTGGGTACCACGTGTGTGACGGGGGTTTATTTGTGACTGTGAAGGGAGACAGGGCTGTTGTGACAGGGTGTTTGCATGTGCTTGTGTCACTTTGAGGTTGTATAGGTGCCTGGTATCCTCTGTAGAACGGGCTTGCCTGTGAAGTTGACGTGTGTGGCTGTTGCTGAGACAGTTTGTGACTGCTCCTTTCCATGTGTGTGTTTGTTTGTTTTTCTGCCTATCTGGGTGCGCCTTGTGTGTGACTGGGATTGTGCCGTTTTCAGGAATGTATGAAGAGAGGAAAAGCGTGTCTGTGAAAGGGTGTTTGGGGCGATATGTGTCCCCAACAAGATGCCTGGGTGTGTTTGTTTATTCCCTGTGTACAATTGGATTTTATTTACGACTAAGTGCTCAGTAGCCTAACTGATGGTTATGACTCTGGTTAAGTGTGGAAATGTGATTTTGTTTGACTTTGTGTGGAATTTGTATACTCTGTGATCTTTCAGAATTTATTATGGTACACAAGTAAAATTTTGTTTGGTATTTCCAAGGTTTCATTCTGAGGCTGAGTCTTTCTATGGATCATGAATCCTGTATGCTTTTGTTTCCCTGAGGACTTTGAGGGTTGATTTCTGTTTTAAACATTCACACATGACCTGTGTTGCTTCATTTCTGTATACATCACAGTTCACTTTAGAATTGCAGTTGTAGAATTACTGCTGCTTCCCAGTGCTCTTAACTTACAGCCTTAAGGGAACTGGATGCAAGGAAATGGCAAGAAAAAAGTCAGAAATTTAAGCCTTTGAGTGAGAAAAAGTTGTTTTCAAGCCCCAAAACAAGTCTTGAGAATTTTAGAGCTGCTATCACCTTCCAAGACAGGCTACTTGGAAATGTGATGGGTTCCAGTAGTAGAAATACCTGGAAAGGGAATGCTATAGGGAGCCAACCACATTCTTTACAAACTGTAAACCTGAACTGCAGAGCTGTTTACAGTAAACAGCTTTGAATCCAGAAATAAAATTTATCTTAAGGCAGCCTAGCCATGCACCTTCCAATAGAGTATAGGACTGTACTAGTCTCCTGACTTTTATGTTAAATGAGGGATACATTATGGGGGTGAAGGAAGAGTTTGTTTTTGTTTTGTTTTTTTTAGTATGGGGGATCAAACTCGGGTCCTTGCACTTTCGAGGCAAGTGGTGGAACCACTGAGCTAAATCCCTAGCCCTTGAAGGAAGAGTTTGTGTTCTAATTAAGAGTATATGCCAAGAAAGGCTTAGTTTTGTCATTTCATTTTCTTTTTCTGAGAGTAGAGCCAAGAGGAGGAAAGAATGGCTGTTGCATATTCAAAAGCAAAGTTCAAGGTAAGTAGATATTTCTCTCTGTTTACTGAACTGCCTTTGTTTTTTTCAGGATATTGTAATCTTTCCTTTTGAAATTTCCCAAGTCTTCTTAGATGACTTAGAGGGATAAGGTGACTTTTTGTAGATTGAGAGCAAGAAAAATCCAGTTGATTGTCACAAATGCTTTCCAATAGTGGTTTTAGAAAGAATAGATTTGAAATTCATGGATTTGAAAACGATAGCTCTATTATTTCTAACACAACATTCTTTTTAACTTTTTTGTTTTGTTTTTTAGCTTTTGGTGAAATTCTTTAATGTGTACAAAACAATAATGAATCATTGTAGGCCTAGCTAAAAAAATTATTACTCAGTACTCTTTGTATCATTATTCCTTTGGTTCAAAATTCTTTCTAATTTGCCTTTTGTTTTTGTCTTTGGCTCATGGGCTTTTTTTTTCCTTTTTTTTTTTTTGGTACCTGAAATCAAACTTGGGGCCTTGCGCTTGCAAGCCAGGTGGCAGAACCACTGAGCTAAATCCCCGGCCCTCATGGGCTATTTTTATGTGTGTTATTTCATTTTCAAGTATTTTGAGGATCATCCCAAGATCTTTTGTTGCCAATTTCTAATTTTATTGCATTGTGTTCAGAGAATATATTTTGTAAACCTGAATATTTTGAAAATTGTTTTATAACCTAAACTTTGGTGCATCTTAGTAAATGTTCTGTATGTCCTTAAAAAAACTGTTATTGGCTGATGTTGGATGAACTGCTGTATAAATGTCAACTAGGTTTTGTAGATTTATTGTGTTGATTAAATCTTATATACCTTTACTGATTTTCTGTTTAACTATTGGACTTGTCTCTTTCTCATTTTTTCTTTCAGTTTCTGCTTGATGTATTTTGAAGCTTAGTTACTAAATACATATGTGCTTTAGATTTATGTCCCAGTGGTAAATTGACCCCTTTATCCTTATAAAATTATCTTCTTTATCCCTAATAATATTCTTTGCTCTGAACATCTGCTTTGTCTGATTTTTAGTACTCCAGTACTAAATTAGTATTAGGTATTTACATCTTTTTATGTCCTTGTACTTCTATCCTATTTGTGTTTTGATATTTCAAGTGCATTTCTTGAAGACAATATATAGTTGAGTTTTGTGTTTTTATCTAATTTGGCAATCTATGTGTTTTAATTGGAGTATTTAGCCATTTATACTTAGTGTGATTATTGATATGGTTCATATCCATCATTTTGCTATTTGCTTTATATTTACCCTATTTTTTCTTTGTTGTCTTTTCCTTCTTTTGTAGTTGTTGAGAGATAAGGAATTTCAAAACAACAATACTCATATTTTTACTAGCCATGTGAATACAGAAAAACCATCAAGACTTTTTGGAACTGAATAGGATAGAACCCAGTAGGGATATATAATCAAATTGTTATTTTTAATGTCAGTTTAAACAATACCTGTCATATGGGTACGCTACTAACTGAGGATACAGGCTACTTTATTTTGCTTTCCTCTTGTTGTTTTTGTTCTGGTTATTTGGTGGTACTGAGTAACCCAAGGGTGGTGTACTATTGAGCTTATATTTTGAGTCAAGGTCTCACTAAATTGCCCAAGCTAACTGGGAACTTGCAGTCCTTCTGCCTGACCCTCCAGATAGGTGGGATTACAGGCATGTGCTATTGTGCCTGACTTGCTTTCTACTTTTAAGAATTGTTTTCCTGGGGCCAGGGATTTAGCTCAGTGGTTCCGGCACCTGTCTTGCAAGCATAAGGTCCTGAGTTAGATCCCTGGTACCAAAAAAAAAAAATTGTTTTCCTCCCCCTCTGATTTAATTTTGTTTTAAAATGTTGTAATACATTTACATATTTCCAAAATCAAAGTTATAGAACATGATGAATTCCAAATGTGTGTGTTTATTCCTCCCCCTCCACCATGCTTACTTCTTCCATTCCTAGATAATATCATTTTAT